AGGACTTACGCATATAACTGACCGATGCTCATGCCGTCCGGTGCGGGCTTACGAGGGAAGCTGTCCCGTCTCTGGGTCAGCCAGGGCCGCGTTGTGCCACCGCCATCGGTACAGGGCTGGGCGCCGCGTGACGCTCTCCTGCGTGACAGCAGTCATCTGCCCCGCGCGCCTGGCGGCGGGCGACGCAATCGTCCCGGGTCCGGGGTGAGCGGCCCCTGAGCTCTTCGGGCTCCCCTCGGGCTCCCCTGTTGTTCCGACGGGTTCTCGTTACACACAGGCAGGCGGGACTGGCGAGAGACTTCGCAGTGGGCACCGAGCCTAGCGTGGTCTAGGTGGGAGACAACGTCTCGCGCGGCCGAGGCACTAGAGTGGGCACCGAGCCTGGCGTGGCCCAGGTAGGGAACAACGTTTCGCGTGGCCGAGACACTAGAGTGGGCACCGAGCCTGGCGTGGCCCAGGTGGGGAACAACGTTTTGCGTGGCCGAGACACTAGAGTGGGCACCGAGCCTGGCGTGGCCCAGGTAGGGAACAACGTTTCGCGTGGCCGAGACACTAGAGTGGGCACCGAGCCTGGCGTGGCCCAGGTAGGGAACAACGTCTCGCGCGGCCGAAACACTAGAGTGGGCACCGAGCCTGGCGTGACCCAGGTGGGGGGCAACGTCTCGCGCGGCCGCAACACAAATTGTGGCTGGTTGAACCATGGCAGAACATGACATCCGACCCTGGTTGTACAACGGTGATGGTACCCTCGTATGTTCTCAGCGGTCATGCTGAACCAAGGACAATTGACCAAGGACAGAGTGCTGGGATATGCACTGCACACAGTCACCAGCCGCAGGCCTCTACTACTAATATTGGCATTGAGTTTTCCTGCTAATGCGGTAAAACCTTTCTGCCATTCCTTCCTACGTAAGCCGAGAAAATGGGCATCTTTATCTGCGATTTGTCTACACTAGCGTCGACGCACCAGCCGTTGATTTGGTCCTGTGGTCGCGTCAGGAAGCCGGTCGGGTCCCCAGAGCCCCGAGCCCCAGTCTCCGACCTGTCGACACCGAGCGCCGCCCATTGAGCCAGTCGCTCACCCCCCCCCCCCTGTTTCAGGGCGGGGATCACGACATGCAGCGGTTTTCCCGGATGGACATTGAGGTCAGCGGTCAGCAGGCGCCTGCCTGCTCGCTTCAGGTACGGCCCGCCAATGGGCGGCGCCCTCTGGCTGGTGAGGCCGTCTGATGCACGGCGGTGGCGGTGTTTAGCGTCCGCATGTTAAAGGATGTCAGTTCGAGTTATGGCTACCAGATAACCATCGCGGTCGCTACTGCGTCATGACAACGCACACTCCCTACGTGCCACGCTCCCACTCTAACGCAGCACGTTCCATGTCCAATCCGCGTTTCTCCCCGCCCCATGCTGTCGTTTGTCACTCGGGATTAAATCTCAAGTTGCCGCCCGCTTTGGCGTCCCCGAATGGTGAGGAGTAGTGAATCCTGGCCCCCGGCTCCCGGCCGAGGTCACTGACTGAACGGCGTGTGCCGGCAGACACTGCAGTGAGCCAGCCCTAGCTCGGGCTCTGTCTGTGACTGGTCCGGTGTCAGCGCGTGCGTGTGTCGGCAGACACTGCAGTGAGCCAGCCCTAGCTCGGGCTCTACCTGTGACCGGTCGGGTGTGAGCGCGTGCGTGTGGCAGCGGACACTGCAGTGAGCCAGCCCTAGCTCGGGCTTTGTCTGTGACCGGTCGGGTGTGAGCGCGTGCATGTGCCGGCAGACACTGCAGTGAGCCAGCCCTAGCTCGGGCTCTGTCTGTGACCGGTCGGGTGTGAGCGCGTGCGTGTGCCGGTAGACACTGCAGTGAGCCAGCCCTAGCTCGGGTTCTGTCTGTGACCGGTCGGGGTGAGCGCGTGCGTGTGCCCGGCAGACACTGCAGTGAGCCAGCCCTAGCTCGGGCTATGTCTGACCGGTCGGGTGTGAGCGCGTGCGTGTGCCGGCAGACACTGCAGTGAGCCCAGCTCGGGCTCTGTCTGACCGGTCGGGTGTGAGCGCGTGCGTGTGTCGGCAGACACTGCAGTGAGCCAGCCCTAGCTCGGGCTCTGTCTGTAACCGGTCGGGTGTGAGCGCGTGCGTGTGCCCGGCAGGTGCGGCGCGGCAGTGAGCCGGCGCTGAACCAGGTGTGCCCGCTGCCGCAGTTCCCGCCCGGACCCTGTGCGCCGACGCCAGCAAACGGTGGTCGCCGCGCCCATCATTGACAACCAGATCGTGGCCAGTTCGACCCCGATCAAGGTCAGCAGCACGCTCAGAAACGTACTTGGCTGTGGCTTCGTAGCTCCCGGGGGTTTTCTGAGTGGCATCTCCAAGTGACAGGTGATGGCAGGTCACGTGCCGGCCCTGTTCGGCGCCCCCCCCCCCCCCCACGTGTTGTGTAGGGCACGACAGCACGAGTCACCTCACTGTCATAGGGACTCGATTGGGGCGTGATGGATTGGTCTGGTCTGGGCGTAGAGGGAAGGCATGCGTTGGGGTTTGACATACGTTCTTTATGGAGCTGAAGTCTGTGTTGACATCACCGTTGTCCTTGAGGTTTGCGGTATGGAACCTACTTCCGTTACACTTCGTGGATTGTTGGCTTGCACTCGTCACTCCAACCATTTTTTTGTACACCGAATTCACGCGTCTACGGTCAGCAGCGACTGTTGTTTAAATTTTTTCTCCTGACTTATCTAATGAAGTGTTTGCAAACACACTTCTTAGAAACATTCCGCGTTTTCATGGGGACCTTGACGTGGGAGCATTACTCGTCTTCGTGAAGCATTTGGGAGCTTCACGGATGGTTTGAGAGACCTTGTAAAAATTCCAATTTAGGCAATACTTTGATAGCGGTATGTTGTTAATTCTTGGAATAGTTTTTCATTGAGAAGTGATCAGCCGTAGACGACCATCGGGGGGGGGGGGGGGGGAGGGGAGCGCCTTTTCATAGTCCAAGATGTCACGCTCGTCGATTACTCCCTGCGTCCCGTGAGCAAACGTCGTTGACGAACTATTTCTCGTACTTGATTTGTGAACTGCACAGTTAGCGGTTTGGTATGTTTGGCGGCAAAATAGTTTGCCTGGTCGCGGTGCTGAGACGGAAGGAGGCACGGCACGTTTTCCGCACAGGAGCCGCGCGATTTTGCCTGTATGACGTGCATTGCCTGGATCGGGTGTCATGCAGGCATCTCTTAAGCGTGTAAATGGGACAGGCTAAAATCTTGCTCAGCTGAGCTTCGGACTGTTCAACATTTTGCCTTAAGGTACTGATTTCACCCCGTGTGGGATCGCTGAGCGATGACCTTATTCCCAAAGGCACGCGCGTCGAAAACGGAAGAAGGCAATTCGGCGGTTTGTGACGCGTTGTTGGGTCTTACGCGTGGTATCGGAAGGTTGCCGCAAGTGTAAGGCCCAATGGGCAGCGTCATGCAAGGATCAACCAACGGTCATGCAAGGCTTTTTTTTGGCATTAGGACGTCTTGCGCACAAATGGTGGGCACACCTTGCTTTCGACGGACCTTTTTTCAAGCAGGGCTTCTTCTTTCATGTGACCTTCGTAAAAACGAAAGCATAAGATATCCTGTGTGACGCCTGCTATGGTCACCTTTCCCATGCCAATGTGGAGGGCGTCGGCCCCGTCTGGCCACTGTTAACAGCCGCGGCGGTGTGTAGTCTCGAATTGGACCCGTCGGCACTGGTTGTGGGCCCACGTGTCTGGTGGCGGACCCGCGTGCTCCGCCCGGAACTCGGCAGCCGCCAGAGCAGGCAGCCGGTTGACGGCACTGCCGAGCCGTCGGACACGCACCAGGCCGTCCACGCTGGCTGCCGGTGTCGGCGCTGCGCACCGCCGGCGGCCTGTCCCGGGGCAAGGTTCGTCCGCGCGACCTGCTCGGGGCGGGTGGCGGCGGCGACCGAGCGGTGGGCGTGCGCGCGGGCCCGGGCCGGGCCGTTACACGGCGACCGTGGCCGGCCGCGCCGGCTGGGCTCGGTCGGCCCGACCGGCCTGTCCCAGCTGTCAGCGGGACCGGAGCGGCCGGCCGCCTTGATGCGGCCGCCGTCTGCCGGTCGACCCGCGCCTCCCGCAGCTGGGTCCTGCGACAGTGGCTGACGGCGGCGGCGGCGCGCCTGGGGTGCAGTGGCCGTGCGGGGGTTCGGTGTGCGGTTCTGCTTGTCCTTCCCGCCGGTTGGCCTCACACCGACTGGTGGGGCTGCAATGCGTGTGCGGTCGTCTCCTGACCGGGTAGGCCGGAATAGATTGTCGAATGCTGCGATTTGACGCGACACAGAGCACCAGTCGGGCTGGACCGAACAAGCTTGAGGCTTCCGAACAACGTCCGTGCATTGTCATACTATTGGTTTTATTGAAGTATTTACACAGCGTCCAATCATTACATCGCAGTTAACTGAAAAAAAACAAACAGATGATGTCGGCATTAGCGCATGAGAAAGCAACAGAGCCGTCTTGTGGTCGCATTTTCTGCGTCTACCGGCCACCCGTGCCGGCGACGCCGCGTGACGATCCCGACGGGTCGGCGCCTGCCCCCCGTGACACGGCCTCCCCTCCGCAGGACAAGAGTTTCGAGCAGCTGACGCCGCCGGGCGAGCGGAGGAGGCGTCGGGCGACGAGCGCGACCGGCCCGCCGTTCTCGCGCCTCGCCCCGCGACGCCAACCGGCTCTCCATGCAGGTCGGCGGCAACAGCGACGGCATATGGAGGTGCGTGACTGGAGGCTGGGCAGCCGGCGTGGCTCGGCCGCTGGCGCCTCTGTTGGGGTTACAGATAGGGGCACGCGGGGAGGTGGTCTTTCTCAGGCCCAGGGGCCGCCGTGACGCGGGCATTGTTGTAGTCCTGGAGCTTGTCTCATCCTGACCGGTCATCTGACTAGCAAGCAACGGGCACATTGTACAGGTGTCAGACGTCGAAAGCTACGTGGGATTAGCTGAAGCTGCGGCGCCCGACGCAATGTGGGTGTACGACGGAAATGCTAGTGGTGCCGTGGAGCCGTGCGACCGAGCATGCGTTGGCAAAGGGCGCACTGTATGTGGAGGGACGGAACACCGGTTATCCCGTCTGTCGGAACGATTTGGACAGGGCACAGTATCACGTGCGTTTGCTGTGGTCAACTCATAACTGTTCGCTTCCGTGGTAATAACGTTTCCTCTCTGTAACGCTCCGTATGCTCTACATTATGTTGTGTTGGCTTCCTGCCTCAGCTGGTGTAGATCAGCTTAGGCGCGTGGGGACGCGTGGGCCGCAGACCTATTTATGTACGTTATTATTTAAACTATAGCGCGTTGCCAAAACATGCCAATCCAAAAATGGTCAGCGCTAGCTGTTTCCTCGCCGTGTGCATTCTCCATAGCTTGTCATACCTCCCCGTGCCGCCTGTTGGCCCCGTTTGAGGTTCTTCCTTAGTACATAGGAGACTAAAGCAAGCAAATGTAGCAGGAGAAGGGGCACTCCCTATTTTAGGCTCATAACGAGTCTGATGCTTGAGTTCATGAACGTTAAGTCAATGGTTTTTGACAAACGGTTGGGCGATCTGCCTGGGCGCCATTCGGCGGTTGGTCTGGGTTTGGCGTCCATCGGCGCCGCCTCATTGGAGGCGCCACGGTCACCATGCTGCACTCAGATACAGCGAAGCGTCCCATTCGAGGCACCACACCAAGGTGTAGAGGACACCCATTGGCTGGGAGGGGAGTCGCGGAGGTCCCAGACCTCTCGCCCTCTGGCCAGGCCACTTCAGGTCACATCACGCGGCCCTGCAGGGAAAGCGACGGACGCTGTCGGAGGAGTGTCGGGCGGTGTAGCCCGCACCAGCCTGGAGTGCACCATAGGCCACGGAGACGGGGGGGGGGGGGGGGGGGGGGTCGTCAGGCTGCCATCGTACTTGTCCGGTGGATAGGACCGGCCAGACCGGACCGGAACGAAACCGGACCGTCTCTTCTGTAAGGGATTGAAGCTGTGTGACGGCAGTTTCCGATAGTACGGTGTGTGGTATGGCTGGTCGGGTATGTGTATCAAGTACTTGCGCTTGTTTTAGACTTCAAGCGGTGGCAATAACAAGGATGTGCTCGCCCGGAGATGCGGTAGGCTGGCTGGGACATCGAAAAAGTAGGCCGATGAGGTAAATATAGCCGGGCCGGAGCGTAGTGAGGGTATGCACGATGGCGGGAGGAAAAAGGGAGGTGAGATGAGCCCAAGCTGAGGAAGGTGAGGTGAGCGGATGGAATGTGAAGCGTGTCGAAGGAGAGAGGGGAACAAGGCGGGCGGTGAGCCTGCGCTGCGAAGGGAACGCGCTGAGCGGAGATGGAGCGAAGACTGGGGAGTGACGTGTGGGGCCGGTCGGCAGGTGGGCGGAGGCGGCCGACCGTCTGGTCAGCCCGCAGACGCCGCGATGGGAGCCGGTGGGGGGCTCCAACGGCTCGCCAGACGTCTCGTACGAGGATACCAGGTGGCCGCCACCCCAGCAGCAGCAGCAGCAGCAGCTGGTGGTCCTGACTGACGTCTCCGGGCCCCTCGGTGAGTTCTGGCCGTCTGCCGGTGGCCGTTTGCAATGCATCTGTCCGATGAAGCCACGAATAGGCTGCTTCCCCCAAAATTTACTGGCATCTCTGACCAGGGTTGGTTACGTTTACATGAAGAACTGCGTGCTGCAGTGTTAGGGCACGACGTTGCAGCAGTGCCCCGGTGGCAGGCATCCCAGAGGCGAACAGTGCCGGCCGACCCTCGCATACAAATAGAAGCCCGTGGCCTGTCGTGACGCGCCGACCCTGACGCGTGTCCGTCCGCCAGGGATCCACGTGGTGCCGGAGTGTGACGAGAGCGGTCGCGACGCGGGCCTGCACGTGCAACGGGTGGAGCCGGACGGCGCGGTGCGGCGCGACGGACGCGTCTCCGTCGGCGACCGCATCGTGCAGATCAACGGCCACAGCCTGCGTAACATCAGCTTCCAGAGGTGCGGCGGGCGGGCTCACCACTCCCACCCACCAGCGGTGTGGCCGCTGGCCAGCGGCGGCGCAGCGACGGCAGTGACGGGGCACTTCTGGTTTCTGTTTGATCCGGTTAGATTTCGTGACAGGCGCTGGTCTTTCACGAACTTTGCAGCGCGTTTGTTGTAGTTGGTTGGGCCGCATTTGTCCTTTTTGGAACAGTCCTTCTATGGCGTGTGTCGCGTTAACGCTCGTGCTGTCCTTAGTTCACGTTCCAATTTTCGCCGCTTTAAGTTCCTTATATTAGTTGCATAGGTGTGGTGTGTATAGCCCATGATTTTAACCGACTCTGGCTCTATAATTATTCTGGTTCCAAAAATACGAAAAAGTGATGAACCTGACGCAATGAAACAACCGCCTCCGATAGTTTCCACGTCCTTGCTGCCGCAATTTCAGAGTATGAGACCCTAAACGACCCCACGCTTCCACTACAAGCCTGCTTTGTGGCAGGTCCATCGAACGACTGGCATCGTCACAGTGCCGGCTGTGGCGTTAGCTGGCTGGGATTGGACTGCTTCGTACATGTTTCCTGTGTGTTGCGGCTGTCCTGTGTTAGTCTTTACCGTGTAGGAAGTGGTGTTCACGCGCGCGCGGCGTGCCCCGTGGCCCCGGTCCCGGTCAGATTCCCTCCGGCTGCGTGTCCCGCCAGCCCCTGCCCCTCGCGACACGTGTCGTCGAGCCTTCAGCGTCGACGCCCGGCTGAGCACCGGACGCGTGACAGCCGGACCTGACGCTGCGGCTCGGTCGCGTAGGGCGCAGGAGATCTTCGTGAGCGCGATGAGCGGCGGCGATCTGCGACTGCTGGTGGAGCACGTGCCGGGCCGCTCGCAGCCGCCGGCGCCGGCGGCCGCGCTCTCTCGCTCGCACACGCCCATCGACGCACTCGACGGCGACGCCATAGGTCAGTCAGCCACCCCGGGGTCGGCTGGCGACAGCCGCAGCGACCCAGATGGGAGACAGCGCTTGTGAACGCGCCGGAATGCAGGGCAGTGTGGCGTTCCTGCAGCCGTGCCGAAGACAGATGCGGCGGACGGGAATGCCGCACGGCTCCGGCCAGCCGTCAGGGGTTTTTGTTGGCCCTCGCGGCGGTCATCGACCCGCTCATCACTGACTTGGCATGTTTGGCACCGCGACAGCGGCGCTTGCTCTCGGCTGGGGCTGCCGTGGCGCGGAGGCTGGGGGCGAGGCCGGAGGGCGGACGTGACCTGCGTCGCCGCGCGCCGCCCGGGTGTGACCGGCCTCCGTCTCGGCAGGCGGCGGCTCGCGCGTCGCCACCGTCTCGCCCACCAAGAAGGTGCCGGCCTCGCTGTCGTCGCGCACGCAGAGCGTCATGCAGACGTCCAACACGCGCAAGCTGGGCCGCCGGCTGTCGGTGGCGCTGGTCAAGGGCGCCGACGGCCTGGGCTTCAGCGTGACGACGCGCGACAACCCGGCCGGCGCACACGCGCCCGTCTACGTCAAGAACATCCTGCCGCAGGTGAGCCGGCCACGCCGGGGCTCACGAGGGGAGGCGGGCAGGACGTGGCACAGGCTACGCCGAGGTCGCGACTCGTGCTACGCTAGGCCATGGGGTTTGATTCAGGTCTGGCAAAGTGAGGCGCGGAAGAGGCAGGCTTCGTTGCAGGGTGGCGTGCGGACCTGTTTGTGTCGGCCGAGTAGATGGAATTAGAAACTAGACAGGGTCTTTGAGGGGCGTCCTGAAAACCGATGCATACTTACCGTGATATGTGGTTTCCATTAAGCCGGTTGTACAGCCAAACATGTCATTGATGAAAACGGCATTTGTGATCGTCTGTTACGTGGCACGCAATTGTGCTTTGCTAGCTACCATTATGCCATAAGGGGGCTGCGCACTGCCAATGTAACTGGTGTGAGAGTGGGCGCACGACCACAGCCAACGGGGACAGGCACACCATGGCCTGCACGGCAGCCGGCCATGTCACTTCTGACTGTGCGTGGGCCGCGCTCCTCGCCGTGTGGGGCGACGCCGCGGACGCTGCCTGCCGGAGCATTGCTGGCCGGACGGCGGGCGCCTCCCGCGGGGCCGCGCGAGCCGCCGTCTGACGCCGGGACGCGGGGGCAGGGCGCGGCGGTGGAGGACGGCCGCCTTCGGCCGGGGGACCGGCTACTGGAGATCGACGGCGTCGCCGTCACCGGACTCAGCCAGCGCCAGGTGGTGCACATGCTGCGCGCCGTGCGGCCGGCCCAGCCCGTCGAGCTCGTGCTCTCGCGCCACGAACAGGAGGACGCCAGCCCCAAGCTGCCGCGGCCGCTGGTGAGTGGCCGGCCGACGGCGGGCGCCTGCCGCCGCGCCACATCCCGTCAGCCGTGTAGTGCCCTGAGATAGAGCATAGGTGTAATCTTAAGAGAAGTGTAGAGCTCAGTGTGCATTTGACGAGTAGTGTGCGCTATTTATGGCTTTAATAGATCCTCTCGGATCGGCGCTATCAGCCTCCTGAAACAAGACCAAAATGTGCTGTGCCGGCAGCTTCGTCTTGACAGTGAGCTCGGTGCTGCCCCCCCCCCTCCCCGCTGCCCCTCCCCCGTCCCCCGCTCCGTGGTAAGCGCTGGCGTGGCCGTCGAAGCGGCCAGCCGAGGGTGTGCTGACGGCCTCGTGCGTCGCGCAGCCGGCCGACCACCGCGAGCCGGACGAGTCGGAGCCCTCCCGCGACAAGGAGGTCCTCGTGTTCGACATCCCCGTGCACGACTCGGAGCGAGCCGGCCTCGGTGAGCGCGCCAGGCTCATGCCGCGCCTCCCGGCGGCCATCTGGGTCTGGCTGAGTACCTGCTCGAGCAGTTCGCTTTGTACAGGCATGGCTGCCCTGGTGCTCGTTCGCCTTTTCGTGTGCGCGTTCGTGCCGTCTGCACCTATCGATGCCGTTTGATCTTTCTTGTCTCACTCGGTATACCGTCAATTGTGTTCTTTCTGGTCCCCATACCGCTCGCTCGCTCACCTACTCACTCACTCACTCACTCACTCACTCACTCACTCACTCACTCACTCACTCACTCACTCACTCACTCACTCACTCACTCACTCACTCACTCACGTGCGCATTTACGCATCACTCACTCACTCACTCACTCATGCGCTCACTTACGCATCACTCACTCACGCACGCACTTACGCACGTACGCACGCACTTACGCACGCGCGCACACGCACACGCACACGCACACGCACACGCACACGCACACGCACACTCCCCCATCTCTCAAGGTTTGAGCCGTCAGTTGTGTGCTCACTTGCCACCGAGGCGCGCCCCACCAGCCAGCTGGTGTCTGGCGCGTACTGAAACAGCGGAAGAGATAGCGCCGTGAGCGCGCCGCGCGCCGCCGCCAGGTATCAGCGTCAAGGGCAAGACGACGGCCGGCCATAGCGGCCCGCTGGACGTGGGCATCTACATCAAAAACGTTATTCACGGCGGTGCCGCCAGCAAGGACGGCCGCTTGCAGCGCAACGACCAACTGATCGATGTCAACTACACGGCCCTGCTGGGGCTCAGCAACAGCGACGCCATGGAGACGCTGCGGCGCGCCATGTGCCAAGAGGTCAGGCGAGGTCCACGACCTCCCGGTCAGGCCGGGGGCTGCGGATGCAGCGAGGCAGGCCAGGTGCCACCGACCTTCAGAAGGCGGACAGCCTGCCAGGTCGAAGAGGCCTGGCCTGGGAGTTGCGAGGTCAGGCCTGTCGCCTTGCGCCAGGAGGTTGGACTGTATCCTGTGGCATGGGGTTAGACTGGGCCCCACCAGTCAAGGTGGCCCGCTACACCTCGGATGTGAAGAGCCGGTGTGCCGCGTGGAGGGCGCCTGACCCGCATAGCCGCGTAACGCCACCTCTCTTTCTGTCCTGCGCAGGGCCCGAAGTCGGGCGTCATCACGCTGACGGTAGCGCGTCGGGGCGATCTGGGCGGCGGCAGCGGACGCGAGTCTGTCAACAGCATGCTCTCCAATTCGTCCGGTGAGAGCGACGAGTGGCCGGCATCGACATGTCTGCGCTGCCGCCCTGTTAACCCCATCTCCTCGTCCTGGGTCGCTCCCGTGTCGCGCCGCGCCGCACTAACTGCTGCCATCGAAGGCCGGTCCACAGAGGTCTGCTCTGCTGCCTGTCTTTGGTCGTTGTCGCTCTCACTCTGCGGCGTGAGGGGCAGCGGCGGCGCTGCCGGCAGTGGCCACGCTTGACGCCATGCCTGACGGGGCTTCAGGCGAGGTGCTGGCCGGCTGGCGGCCATCCAGCGAGCGGGACCAGTCGGGCCACAGCGAGGAGTCGCAGGTGACCGTGATCCATCGGCCGCCGCCGCCGCCGCCGCCATCCGACGGCCACGGCCCCGGCCCCGGCGCCGACCGACACCCCCGCAACATCCGCAACGACAGCTACTACCAGGTAAGGCGCCGGCTGCAACTGTGCCGTGGACCAGGCTGGGGATGGGAGCTGGCGCGGCAAGGGGAGCGATGCGGCGTGCCCAGGCACAGCTGTAATCACTCACAAATAGTTTGATGACCTCCGCTGATGACCTGGGTTAGATCGACCCCTTTCCCGCGAGTGATGTCGCATGCCCCACGGCCAGCTCAAGCTGAAGCGGTGAAATAGTTCGCGCATTCTCATCGTTGAAGAGGCGACGATGTTCTGCATGTTCGTCTTGGCGCCTGATGTGGCGAGCGCTCCCCTGCGCGGCGCGGTGACCGGACCGGTGCCCCCAGGCCACGCACGACACGTGGGACGCGTCGGCGCTGCAGCAGGCGGCGGCGTCCCCCGCCGGCGAGCGGCCGGTCGGCTGCAGCCCCACTGTCGACGCGGTCTCCGTCGAGGCGGCGCCCGGCGGGCCGGGTAGCGCCGCCGCCACCGCCGAGCCGTTCACGCACGCAGCCTACGCCAGCCAGTAAGGGAGCGGGAGGGCAAGCGAAACGGCTTTTTTGTTTTGGGCGGGTGGACTCAATTACCCATTTTTGTTTCATGCGGAGGTGTGTTGATTTCTGCGAGCAATTGTTCGCGACTGACAGCTTTATGTGACGTTCAAGAACCAGCTGGGCACTGTTGGGTTTTGGGGCGAGTTTGCCGCAGACTTGGACTGTTGATGAGGTGGCTGGGCTGTTGCTGGCCTGTGCTGGGGCCGTGTGCTGCCGGCCGTTGACGCCGCCGCCGCCTCTCGCCCGCCGTCAGGACGTCGCTGGAGCAGGCAGGTGTGGGCTTCACTCGTGACCAGCTGGGCCGCCAGTCCATCAGCGAGAAGCGGCACGCCTCCAAGGACGCCAAGGGCACGGACACGTACCAGCGCACCAAGCGGGCGCGCGAGGAGCGCGAGCAGCAGCGCCGCCTGCTGGAGGCCGAGCTGCGCCGGGAGGAGGCGCGCCGCCGGGACGCGGGTGAGCGCCAGCTGTGGGGCGGGTCGGCTCACGGCCGCAGGCTGGGCCGCGCTGGAGACGGCGCCACCGGGGCAAGCGCGCCGCTTACGTGATACGTTAATTCAAGAACTCTCCTCATGACTTCTCATTTTGGAGAAGTTTGTTTGAGTCAGTTGGCTGTTTCGATCATCGGCTTGAGTCAGTTGAATTTGTGTTGTCATTCTTTATTTTCACAAACCACGAGGTCATATGGCGTTGTGTAGGCAAAGTATTGCCCTGTGAAAATGAGATATGCTGATGTTGAACCACAACTGGACAAGGTATATGGGGTTCGAAGTTTCACACTCTGTTAAGGGAGTTAATAGGTTTGTGTTTGATACGGAATACAGTCTGAAAGGGACACGACCAGTTTGGGACGTGTCGTGAAAACCCGGGAATGGACTCGCGGTACCCCATTGATAACTGGTCACAATAAAAGGCTCACGAAAGCAGTGCATAAGACAAAAAAAAGCTGAAAAAACAAAACGACAAAAAAGTATTTCGCAATTGAAGCATAGCAGGCGCATCTGGGACATTCCGGTGATGTTACACTGGCTCTGTGTGTCACGATTCTTATATGCAAGGAAGTAGCGCGACTCCACCAAGATGGGTGGGGCCCAGGTCAGTGGGCAACGGCTGTAGCTTTCGAGAGTAGGATAAAGTCGGGGAAGTCTTAACTCCAGGTTCAGGGGCGAAGCCGCAGAAAGGCGAAGAGAGCGGGAGACGCTTTTTGTGACGCGGCTTCGCTGGCTCTTCATATGTCAAGTGTTTGATGCCTGTCTCCTGACACGGACGGCTGTGACGTCGCTGCGCCTCAGCGGCGGCGGCGGCGGCGGCCCTGGTGTGGAAGCCCCACCAGGCCTGTCGTTGATCCTGTAAAGGCCTCTGCGTGACGGACTGTCGGCCGGCGTCCCGCGCCGACAGCGGACCTGTGCACGGTCTGGGCCGGGGCGCTGCGGCGGCTCGCCGCCGGCCCGGTGCCGGCTGACGAGCCGCGGCCGGCGAGACGGGCCATGGGGCGGCGGGTCTGGGCGGCGCGAGGCCGGCCGGCGCCGCGCGCCGCCGCCTGCCCGTGCCAGCACTGCGCTTTGGTAACGGCCGGGGCCGCTGTGTTGGCAGGCGAGCTGGGTCCCAGCCTCGGCATGAAGAAGTCCTCCAGCCTCGAGTCGCTGCAAACCATGGTGCACGAGGTGAGCTGGCGTCGGGCGGTACTCACCAGGGATAGCATCGCCGCGGCCGTGACGGCCGTTCAGCGCTGGCGACTGGTGACAACGCACAACGTGTCCGTGATTTGTTGGTTGACTATTGGAATACGTATCCCGTTTGCATGTCGGAGAACCGATTTTTTTGTGGAGACGACTGACGGCGGTGGGGTGGGTAGGATTGAGCTTGTTGAGCCACTCGCCCCAGCTCGTGCGTAAAGCCGAGCACATGGGGCGTGGCGCCTGGCACTGGCCTCTCGCCGTGCGTCTGCTGACGCGGCCCGCGGCCGGCAGCTGTCGCTGGTGGAGGACAGCGAGCGGCCGTTCGCGCACCGCGCCGCCGCCCAGGCCGTGCGCGGCCGCGGCTGCAACGAGAGCTTTCGCGCCGCTGTCGACCGCAGCTACGAGGCGCCGCTGGCCAACATGCGGGACCGCATGGAGACGCGTGAGTGGCCGGCATGGGCCGCCCGCACCCGGCGGTGGGCGCCCAGTGGGCGGCGCCGGTCGGACGGGCGTCAGCGGACGCTGCTGCCGGCCGGCCGTCGGCGGGTGGACGCTCAGTGGGCGGCGCCGGTCGGACGGGCGTCAGCGGACGCTGCTGCCGGCCGGCCGTCGGCGGGTGGGCGCCCAGTGGGCGGCGCCGGTCGGACGGGCGTCAGCGGACGCTGCTGCCGGCCGGCCGTCGGCGGGTGGGCGCCCAGTGGGCGGCGCCGGTCGGACGGGCGTCAGCGGACGCTGCTGCCGGCCGGCCGTCGGCGGGTGGGCGCCCAGTGGGCGGCGCCGGTCGGACGGGCGTCAGCGGACGCTGCTGCCGGCCGGCCGTCGGCGGACGCTGCTGCCGGCCGGCCGTCGGCGGGTGGGCGCTCAGTGGGCGGCGCCGGTGGGACGGGCGTCAGCGGACGCTGCTGCCGGCCGGCCGTCGGCGGGTGGACGCCTAGTGGGCGGCGCCGGTCGGACGGGCGTCAGCGGACGCTGCTGCCCGCCGGCCGTCGGCGGACGCTGCTGCCGGCCGGCCGTCGGCGGACGCTGCTGCCGGCCGGCCGTCGGCGGGTGGACGGACAGGCAGACATGGAGCAGCAGCGGCGGCATACTGCCGCGACTGAGCAGCTGTGCGAGCTGGCGCCGTCGTGACATGGCTGCAGCTGGTTGCTTTGTGGGTGCGATTTACACCCCAGTGGTTCAGTATACATCGATGTGAGCTGAGAACGCGTGCGTCCTGTCCCCCAAACCGCTCCGTGATCAATCCCAGGCATGGTTTCCACACCTCGCACAGTTTTACATCATTTTCGTCTGGTATGTTTCCATGTTATGCTTTGCATCGGTGGTCAGGACAATTTGTGTCGCTGATTTAAATACTTCACTCTTTGCATGCCACAACATTATTTTATGTGCTATTAAGGGCCAATGTGTTTATATTTGTCGGGCGTAGTTATGCATGTGGATGCATCAGTAGTTGCACCCGCATGCTCGTAGTGCGTTCGATCGCCCAATACCACAGTATATTTACGCGTATGGAAGATAATCGGCATTCAATTTACACGTCGCTATCAGCAAGCGGCAAAAAGGAGCGTGACGACGCAGAATCTCCCTGACATCACTTACAATTCACGGAACCTGTTTGGGAGGGACTCGGAGCACGCGGCTGTGTCTTGTACTCCATCAACTGACCTATTCTTAACCCGGTTCGTGTCGTTTCTGCTTTGGCTGTCGTGATGTGGCGGTGGGCTGTCTTCCGTATCTATCGCTGCCGCGTTTGGGTGCCGCGTGGTGGCCAGCGCCGCGGTGGCGAGGCGACCGTTCGTCACCAGCGGCGTCTCTCGGCTGTTACGGTGGACACCCAGCGTCGGCCGCGCCCTGAGACGGGCCCGCTGTCGGTGAAGGCTGCTCTCCGCACCGCTCGTGCCCGGCCGCTGCCGCCGCTGACCGCCCTCTGTCTCTCCCTCCTCGCGCGCCTTGGACGCCTGCAGTGCCGCTGGCGGCTGACGCCGATTTTGTCACCTATCTAGTGGACGAGGAGGCGGCGCCGGGCTTCAACCGAGACCGCGCCGCCCGCCAGAGCTCCATGAGCTCGGGCGCCGCCGACGACAAGAAGGCGAAGCGACGCTCCGGCCTGCTGAAGGGACTCGGCAGTATGTTCAGGTGGGGGCGACCGCCCAGCCCTGCGGGAGTCGGTCAGTCGACTCACGGGGCTACCAGATAATGTTGATGTCACATTACGCCCATCGTGGTGTGCCCCTCAGGATCGGGATGGGTGCTGCATGACATCCTGCAGTCGATGCGCCCAAAGCCCAAATTATCCTCACCATCACCCATAGTGTCGGTCGTTGGGCAGCAATACCCTGTCGGCTCGCTTGACCGTGCTGATTATCGCGCGTCCCCCGTTCGCCCTGTCGGTATGGCGGGCCTCCGTGTTAAGCGGCCCGCGCGTGGGCAGGTTCGGCCGGCACCGCAAGGGCGGCGAGGCGGCGGACGCGGCGCTGCGCCTGACGCCCGACGAGCTGCGCCAGCAGCAAGAGGAGCTCAACAGGATCGCGGCCCGGCGCCGAGCCGAGGACGAGCAGCGGCGCATCCAGCAGCAGTACCAGCGGCTGGTGCAGCAACAGCAGCAGCAGCAGGTCCAGCAGCAGCAGCAGCAGCAGGCCCAGCAGCACAGGCTGGTGAGTGGTGCGGTGCGCCCCACGGCCGGCGCCGAGTACGGCATGGAGTGTATGCCGCTGTTAAGCTGCCCGCCAGTGATAAGTGGAACCCAGCTGACGGCATGGCCGCTGTGGCCGAGCAGACGGACAGCTGTCTCTGGGGTGGAGGCTGTTGCGGCAGTGATATGCCAACGAGACAAGCACGTCTCTCTGTACGATGCAGTTCACATGCATTGAGGTTGTCCGCGCGGACCTAGGATTGACGCTGATATGTCAATGTCTTGGCGGGAAGCACTTGTGAACAAACATCAACAGATCAATTGGTTTGCATAAACTGGAGGCCGTGTGGCTGCAGCAGCTGCTCCGTGGGCATGCGGTAGGCGCGCTCATTGCATGCCCTGTCTGAGCATATACCGCCACATACACCGCTGACCCGACCCGACCCGATCCGGCCTGGCCAGACGTGATCCGACCCGACTGACCTGCCCTCCCCAGACATGACCCGACCTGACCTCAACTGACCTGTCCGGGCTTGAACTGACCGGACCTGACCCAATCCGATCAAACCCCATCCGATCTGAACTGGTATGGCTGGACGTGACCCGACCGGACCTGACCTGAGCCGGCCGGACATGGCCAGACCCGACCCGATCCAACCAAACCCGACTTGACCTCACCGGATATGGCCCGACCGGACCTGGCCTGACTGGACCTGCCTCAGCCGAACATGACCCGATCCGACCTGACCTGATCTGACATGGTCTGACCTGGCCGGACTTGACCCGACCGGGCTTGCCGGCAGCCGTCGCAGGGCCAGCCTGGAGGGCCGATGCCGTCGACGGCGCAGGAGCGCGCGCCCAGCCGCACGGACCGCATGCAGCAGCTGCGTGAGCAGCACCAGCGCCGCCACGCCAGCCGCCAGGGCGTGTACGTGACGGAGGCGGCCGAGGAGGCGGCAGAGCTCCGACTCCGCCAGGTAGGCAGGCTCTCGGGCGGCCGCTCCAGCTCGGCGCAGTGCGGGCACCGATCGTGGCACGCTGCGTGCGCAGCTTGCGGGCTTCTGCCCCGGCCATGGTGAAATGGCTGCATCCTTGTGCTGCTCTTTCGGTCGGTACGCTTGCACCCCTGCAGAGTGATTTATGTTGGGCATTGATGGGTCGTATGATGACGCGCCTATGGTCCTGTTGCTGCTGTCCAACGTAAAGACATGCACGACTAACACTTCTGTCGTCATTTGCTTCGTTTAATTGGCTCAAGGAACCCCTTAATGCCACCAAGTAAGCAACTTGCTTTTGGTTATATGCAATTCAGAGCTAAATCAGTTCGACCAAATGCGCGTACACACACTACGGGTAACGCTTTCTAGAGACGTCAACACGTGATCGATGCCTATCAGCCAGTGCGACCGTAGTCGTCCTCTTGTGTTCAAAAACAGCACGCGTGCGAGCCTACATCAGCAGTTTTTCCTACGTGCGCAGGGAGAGGAGGGGCTTCGGAAGGTTTTGGCAAACGCGAAGTCGATATTGACAGTAATATTACACATCCACGATGCCGCATTGCCGTGTATATTTTCGCTACATTTGGAGCTGTAAGTCCACTATTGTGGATCCCCGGCGTGAAGTGCTTCGGGCCTGTTTTTGGCGGCTGTCCCCTCCGCGAATTGTCTTGGAATGACTCAAGTGCAACGTAGAGTGTTAAAACGCTGGAAAAAAGATTGACGTTTACGGCTATGAGCATACCATGGTTACTTACTCATTGAACGTTAAATGTTAGCTCGTCTGACGTGAAATAGTACTAGACGTTAGAGAAATAGTACTTAGGACATTTTGATTGGGTTTGACTGCCCATTTCCAGCTAGTGTCTGACCATCAATAATGACCACCTGCGAAGAGCTGGTAGTAATCACGATTCTAGATTTTTTAACATCTTGTTTGATTTTCCTTTTGTGAACTGGGGAGGTGATGGACTCGTAGCACGCTCCTATGCCCTCGCGCTTTCTGCGGACGTCGGTGCGGTGTGCGGCTTGCCGTGGGTGGTGCGGTGTGCGACCCGCAGTGGGCGGTGCGGCGTGTGGCCTAGGGACGGCGCCGGCCCGGCTGACGGCAGGGCGCCGGCCGGACCCGGTTACAGGCGCACCCAACCAAGCCGGCCGCACCGCCGCCGCATCTCTCTGACCGGCTCAACAATAATGTGCCTGAGCCGACGTTCGTGCGCGATTGCACGGACACGGCGCGCGCAGCAGCGAGTACTTCCGCAACCGGCGGCCGCCGGCGCTCGTCGCGGCGGCGCCGCGCCAGCCGGCCGCCTTCTGGGTAGGTCAGAGGGCGCCGCCCTTCTGGGTAGGTCAGAGGGCGCCGCCCTTCTGGGTAGGTCAGAGGGCGCCGCCCTCGCCTGCCGTCCCCTGCCTGCGGCTGGCCGCATGCCTGGGTCTGGGCTCGCCGGCGGACGCCCTGCGGCTACGATATTTGCTGGAGGCTTGCTTGTCGTCATTCTCTTGTTCGCCGTTGGGATGGGCTAACCCGCCGCCTGCACGTCGCCCTGCGGTGCGTGGCGCACGCTAACTCCTCAGCGGCCATCTCGTTTTGAATGGCATTGGTGTTTATTGGCAATAATTGTGTGCGCCTGCATTTTTTTCTCATTTTTTCATTCAATTTTGTCAAGAATCGTGTTCGATAGTTGTATTTTACTCAATATCTGTGTTTTTGTTCGTTGCTAATGTTCTGTTCGATGTTTGGCATTTTCCCAATGCTTTCAGTTGTAAACTAGCTCGTTTCTTGATTAGGCCCAGATTGCATGCAAGACTGCCACGGATTAATTTCCCTCAGCGCGTGGAGCAGACAGCGGGCAGCAATGGTGGACCACCGAGCCAGCGAGGCCGCCCAAGCTGTCCACTGGAGCCACGGACCAATCCCAACGATATGTCAGACCTGCGAGGCCATCCTGGCGTCCCATCAGATGCACGAACACCTCCCAGCGGTCCGTCGGACCGGCGGCGCAACCCCAACGGCCCATCAGATCCACGGGCCTACGCAAATGTCCCCCCAGACCCGAGAGCGTACCTCAACGGTCCTGCAAGTCGGCAAACCTACCCCAACGGTCCCTCAGACCCGCGGGTATACCCCAACGGCCCCTCAGACCTACGGGTGTACCCCAACGGCCCCTCAGACCCACGGGTGTACCCCGGTGGTCCCTCAGACCCACGGGCGTACTCCAATGGTTCCTCAGACCCAAAGACGTACTCAAATGGTCCCTCGCACCCACGGGCGTACTCCAGTGGTCCCTCAGAATCACGAGTGTACCCCAGTGGTATCCCAGACCCGCGTGCCCCGAACTCGGGCCCACCCGACTCCCAGATTCCGAGACATCGCTCCGACACCCGTATCCCGGGAAGCCCATCCTGGCCCCGCTCGGCTCTTTCCGACCCAGGCGCGGCCGGCGCCGTTGCGTCGGACCGGCGCGGGCCCGGCCTGGCCGGCCCGCACCCGCCCAGCCCGGCAGCCGGCCCGCGGGCGCGCCGCAGCCGCGCAACCCGCAGCGGCGGCGCCCCCGAATGCGGCGCCGGCGGCGCGGCGGCGTCCGACTCGCGCCGCCGCAGCCCGGGCCCCGCTGGCGCGACGGCCGCGCGGCGCGGCATGTGCGACCCGTACGAGCCGATGCTGCGGCCCGGGAAGCCGAGCGGGGCTGGTGGCCCCTGGCCTCGGCCCCAACCCCGGCCCTGGCCCTGGCTCCGGCTCCGGCTCCGTCTCCGGCTCCGACCACGACCACCAGCGCTTCGGACACTACGCCAATTACGAGCAGATACAGCACCACCTGCGGTGAGCGGCCAGGACGCCGCGCTCGGCTCTCTGGCACCGGAAGATCCTGTTTAATCGCTCGGCTGATCTCAGCTGCTGGACCTGTCACAGAAGGGGCACTGAGCCGCTTCTATGTCATGGGCTCTGAAGTTTTTCTGGGTGGCATGTTCCCTGTAATAACAGGATTCATGTTGTTAGCTGAATTTTCCGGCACGAACTGCAAGGGACTATAGGAGTTGCAGTATCCAATAAGACAGAATAATGGTCAGGCATATTCCATCTGACATTTTAGGATAGGTAGTGTCGAAATACGCTTTAATGATATTGAGTATTATCAAGCAAAGGTTCCTCTCAACATTCAGATCGGTTGGAATTTAAAGCTGATAAAATACAGTGGTAAATGGATGGATTTTATTCAAACGTGATATTGAACCAAACATTCCGGGGAACCCAATGTATGAAAGCTTTATCCATAGATCGGACATGGGGGCAATGTCTTGTGCCACACAGCCGCTGTCGACATCCGCTTTTTACATCCGCGCCGCCAGCGAATTTAACTTGCCTGTTGCCTTCCGGGCCTTTTTGCGTTGCAAAATGGGGACGTGGCCAGGAGATGGTGTTCGTTGCCTTAAGTGTGGCATGCACGACCTGCGGTGACGGTGGGTGACGGGCTCGCGCAAGCCGACAGACGCCTAATCCAGCACGACCTGTTCACCGGTGTCGGACCTTGGTTTCCAGCGAGAAACGCCTGAGGGGCGCCGCTCTGCTCAGTCGACTGGAGCAAAAGTTCCGGGACGAGGCCAGGTGTGGGGCGGTAGCACCCGGGAATACGCTTATACGCCCGCTGCGGGGCTGGTTTGTCCAACCGCCACCGGCCCGAGTTCAGGGGTTCATTTCTGTCGCGTTTGTCTAGCTCTGTTCTTGCCACATTTTGACGCGTGGTCTCCGCGGGCCCGAATGAGCACGCCTCCCCCGGCCCCCGTGCACGAGCGCGACCTTGTCCCGTGCTGTTTGTATCATTTGCTCACAGTGCGGGGTGCGCGTGATGGGCTCGCGGAAGCCATCGGCCGTCGTTAGCGCTTGTCCGTCGTACTTTGCTAGAGTCGCTTGCCTGTCGTACTCAACCAGTTTCGCTTGCATGTCGTACTCTGCCAGTGTCGCTTGCCTGTCGTACTCAGTCAGGGTCGCTTGCATGTGGTCATTGGCGTGCGTTGCACGGGAGTGTAATGGCCCTTGCTGGCAGGTGAGCTCAATGCACGTGCCCTGGCGGGAGGCCTACGCCACAGTAATCGTGCTCAGATCGTTTGTGTCGCTGTGTCCGATTCGTATCGGATGGTCTTGGGCATGCCCGCCCCGTTCGTGATCATTGCGATCATTGGTGAAAAGACCATAGCGATAGTTGTCTTTCCAATATCTGAGACTTTGTCAAGTGTGCGACATTTCAGCCACGAAAATGGCACGTCCGGTTCAAAAGACACTGCGCGTGCAGGGTGGCAATGTCTTCATAACTCCGGTCCCTTCATCTGACTGATTCACTCCTCAGCATCGTCGCACCCTGGTCCTACCTCCAACGCGGGCGGCCAGCCCGCAGCCACCAGGTGTGCTCCCCAGAGCTGGTCGCCGGCACCTGTGCAGTGTCACGTTCCCGCTCCTAACTTTAGCTGTGGACCGCCAGGCGGCAGCACCAGGTGTACCACTCGCAGACGCGGCCGGCGCGCCGAGCCGAGCGCCGCCGAAACGGCCAATCAGCAACTACTACGAGTACGAGTCAGTGCAGGCCGTCCGCGCACGTGGTGGCGGCGCAGCGGCGGCGGATAGTCGACCCGACGGCGAACCACCTCTGCCGCGCCACCACGAGAGGACGCGCTCCGGGCCGGCCACCGGCGGCAGAGCGGCCGGCGCCGCCGGACTCCAGGCACGGCCGCTGCATGCGGCGGTGAGTGGGGGCCGAGTGAGCGTGGAGGTACAGACGTTTGGTGGTATCGGACGGAGGGCTGGGTTGGGCTTGGTGACGGCAGCTGGCCCGGCTGGGGCCGGTGGAGCCGATGCCCGGCCGGGGGGCCGTCGTAATTAGTCTGTGTTTGGTATAACTGCGGTTGACTGCGTGAGTGACCTGCGGCGCGCCTGTCCTGACCGGTGTTCCGTGTCTCTGGCCGCAGCTGCGGCCGCGGGCCGGCGCGCTGTCGGCACCACTCAGTCCGCCCCGGGCGGAGAGGACTGGCAACCAGCGGCTGTCCACCACGGCCAGCCGGGCCCCGAGCGTCTGCGGCCGACAACCGGCCCACCGCCGCCAGCAAAGGCAGCCGGTGTGTGAGCCCCATACGACGAGCAGGGGCGGTCGAGTCTGACCTCCATCCGCTAGGGAATCGGGTCCGATCCCACCCCAGGGGGCGCCGGGATCCATTAGGGTGGGGGATATGATTATGGGATGGCGTCCAACCGCTCGAACGATCGAAATCGGACCTGCGGCTTCACCTGGGATACTCCGCCACCCGATCTCGACCGCCCTCCCCTCTCCGCCCGGTTGTCACGCGGTGCTGCTGGGCTGGCGGAGCCAGGCCCGGGAGCCATCATCTGGATGGCTTCGTCGGACGGTGCGGGCCGCCGTCGTGGTCTCCTGCACCGTCCATACGCCGATCCCGCCGTACCTAGTTGCTTTATTCCTACTCTATTGTGACGAGTTCACCCTCGCGCGCGATGTGTAGCGCCTCACGGCCCATAGTGAGTACAATGGTAGGCCTGTTAGTACGGGACATTCCCTGGACCATTCCCTCTGCGGCGGTCTGCGGTGTGATGTGGATTTTTGTTTTCCTACGACGATCAAATTTTGGTGGGACTACTTAATTCATTGAGTGCGAGGTGTTGCATATGTACGGCAGTGTGTCATTACGCCAGCTCGCGTCTGTATTGGCGACATTCACCGGTGCTCCACTATATGGCACGCCTGCCAGCTCTCGGGATGTTCAGCTCGCGTCTTTGTTGGCGACATTCACCGGCGCTCCATCGTATGGCTCGCCCGGCAGCTTCTGGATGGTCACCTCGGCGATTCGCGGGCGCTGCGTGACAATGGTGGCATGCTTGATGACAATGGTGTCATGCTTGATAGTAGACCGCCCGTTATTTTGTGCGCAATATCAAGTCTGTTTCATTCTACTTCGCACGCGAGGGCGCCTGTTACCGTTCTCAGGTATGAAACGCTCCGTCCGTACAAGCCTTCATCCCACACTGTGTGCTTCCCACTCGATCCCTGCTGTTCTCGTGTTGCCTTGTATGGCATCAACTCCTGTGCAGAGTTGCGACGTTGTGCATGTGCCGAAATGTGTGCCACATATTTTTTCTACTGTCGGCGGATTGGATTGTATTGATGCGCGCGTTTGCTAGTATTTCGAAGGAGCCTAGTATTCCTTCGTCAGAACAATACATGAGATGAGCGCCCAGATGTTCATCACAAACCACCTGGCGGTGCGGCTTCATTCAGTAATGCGCCAGCAGGAACTCGCCGCAACAAAACAGGCTTTGTCCACAAGCACCTGGTGCTAGTAGTTCTCGACTGCTACCTTATGCACATCAACACCGACAAAAGTATTGGTCACTGATCGCTGCAGCTTTGCCAATCAGCGCTCCGTCAGGCCTGCCAGCAGTGAGCGATGTACTGGACACGGGTCAACACACGGCATGGCTTCAATAGTGGCTTCAGTAGCTGATGCTGATACTGATCGCTGGGTTACGAGGACCTTCATGTATAATTTAGAGTGCAGGTCCCTGGAGATTGAGCCTAGGTGCTTGGTGTTTGAGAGTGATGCACAAGGGTCTGCGGCTTGGTCAGTTTCTGCTTCAATAAAAATTTATGATACTCAGTCCAAGACTTGAGTACATGGACTTACTTAATACAAGACCACTACCCTGAGCAGTGCTAGCTACATGAGCTCTGGCGCCAACATCCGATTGCAAAATTCCAGGCAAAAAGAATAATCATGGTGAAAAACAAATGCACTGCAAAACACATTCTCTGCAAACCATGACGGGACTGTCGATAGTCGCTGTGCGGCAGTTAGGTACTACCAGGGCGGCCAATGTGCCTGCTGCCCGCCCCCAATAAGACCTTAACCCTGTCAATCATAGCTTGGACAGTGGATCTAGAGTCCAGACCATTCAAAGATTGAAAAGGAACAATAACCATTGGTGCAGAATTCCCAGATATTTTGATTACCAGAAAGTCTTTAAACATTATCGTTTGACGAAATATTTGGTCCCGTTCCATCATGCATTGGCATGCAAATCATGGCAAAACTCTACCCCGAAATATATTTGTACGTAGGCTTTACAGCCAACATTATGCATCACTACACCAAGACCCCCAACCCAACATTAATGTGAATCTGATATAAACTTGTCGGACACCCTAAGAACTCTTGACATGCGTCAGTAATGTAACACAAAGGATCACATTTGTATGAGGCAAGGCCATCACCATTTTATCAAGAGTTTAAGCAATACAATGTCGCCTTACAATCTACATGCTTAGCCTAAAGCTATTAGATTGATTATTCAATATGAAAAAATTAAATAAAAAACTAAGGATCCTGAAATAAACCGTTTTTTATTCTCTTTAGAATATTTCGAAAGGCACATGAGCCGTTCAAAAAGAAGGCACAGGGGTGCGGCCTCGGCGCAGCCTTCAAACGCCGCCCCATTCAAAACAAGCGGTTTGGAAGCTTGCTCGTTGTCGTCTCGGGCTTATTTTTACCCAACTTGAAGTACGTCCCAGTGCCCTGTTTTGATTTATTTCATGCATGATTTTTAGCTGGATTTCACCCGTTCCGTATCTGCCTAGATTGTGATGTGGCGGGTCAAGTCATGGGTCTTCTAACTTGTTTTTGTTCTAAAACTTATAAGTGACGCCGATTGCGATTTCAGACGATTGCTCACCGGCGACTTTGTGGTATGTTTGGGCCGTGATTTGGCCTTCCTTTTTCCTGACTTTTACTTGCCTCTCATTGGCACAAAATGAGCAGTTCATGTCTGAACTTCACCTGTGTCATGGGTAGTCAAATGTCCCAGTGCTCAATGTGAAATGCAATAATCCCAGGCCAAGGATCACCATTGAGCATAATTTCACAGCACATAAAACACATTGCAGTCCTGTCTGGTAAAATTCTGCAGAACATTCATGGCACTGGACACCAGAACTAGAGTGATGAATAGGGGCTTAGTTTAGCAATACAAGTAAGATGACCCCACCTCACTCGGCTTTCCTGGCAGAAAAATGGCTTTGCAGAAACCCTTAAGCAATACAATTTGTTTTACCTTGCTGTGTTTTCATACTGTGACTTATCTTGTGCCATTCATTCAAAATAAAATAAACCCCATGCCTTGCAGGAATGGGGCTGTGTGCCAGAAGGGTGTGTCCTGCCCTCGCCCTAGAGGCACTGCACGGACATCCATCCTGTTGTATTTATGGGTTGATCCCCCAAATGGTCTGTTTGTTCTATACCTAGAAACTTTTTCCCAAATTCTTTTGGGTCCCTACCAGGCTTGAAATATATGCTCCAGTCAAGAAGCTTACAAGTATTAAATCCACAATGAGCTGCATAACAAGGGAAGTTTCATTTTGATCCACTTTATTGATATGATAATGAGAAAGTGGGTTGTTATATGTTCTCACACAGCATATGTAGTGATCTATTATACCCTGGAGTAATGTCCTTGACATTTCTGCTGGAATGCTTTAGATGCATGTTGCAATTTGCAACATGATAGTTGAATGATGAACAATGACAGGACAATAGAAGAGAAGTATGCCTCTGGTTTGTGTAGCATTTCATTCCCACATTTTGGAATTTTCGTATGATAATTCAGACCAATAAAATGCTCTTGCCCAGTTTGGTCACAACACCACAAGCTGTCACCTGATGTCTTAAAAGAGTGGTTCAATGGGGAGTGTGAATGCAAATCAAGTAAAAACATTCCTTATGCTATTGTGTAGACACAGGAAGCT